AAGTTTTCTGTCACCGTTCTTATATATTCAATACCTTCGTTTCCTTCTAGCCTAGCACCTTGAGCTGTACTTGCAAACCTCTTCTCCTGCTCGTATCATTTACTAAGGAGTTTAGATGGTTCCAACATTTCGCAACTGCCTTTCTGTCTTTTTCATGTACGTTTACCAGCCACTGAACTCCCTTTCTCCCGATCTTTTCATTGATCAGAAAAGATGCATTCCTTCTACAGCTGAGAAAAGTTTCCCTTTTTCTTTCAACACCGTCTGTCGGTTCACTCCGCTTCTTAGCATGTCTGTGTTCCCTAGAGGCTTCCTGACGTTTTGCTATAGCTCTCTTCCTCATTCCACCAACTCTTGCGTTTGTGTCTTCTTTTACAGAGAGACTTATCACGTGCTCTAGCTCAAACAGTCTTATTAGATTCGTTTATGTACACTGTTTTATTATCCTGGCACACGTTGGATGGATGCATGGATGGATGGATGGATGGATGGATGGATGGATGGATGGATGGATGGATGGATGGATGGATGGATGGATGGATGGATGGATGGATGGATGGATGGACGGATGGACGGATGAATGGATGGACGGACGGACGGACGGACGGATGTATGAATAGATGGATGGATGGATGGATGGATGGATGGATGGATGGATGGATGGATGGATGGATGGATGGATGGATGGATGGATGGATGGATGGATGGATGTGGCTGTACCCTTTAGATCAGGTGGCGGCTAACGCCATCTAGCCGTAATAATTAGTGAACTAACCATTATATTTATCTTTTTTTTTCCTTTAAATAGTGAGTTATAGGATTCGTACTTTGCAGTGAAAGGTTTAATGTTCACTCGTGCCTTGACTTTAGCCACCAATCAGATAACCTCCTTCTAGTAAAGTCTACCCGCTTAAAGTCTATTTTTCCCTCCCTGTACCTAAACCCCAGTGCTTTGAAAAACTCTGCGCCATCATCCTGAACTATAGGGTGGAGCCCTTTAAAGAACATTATCAAGTGTTCCGCAGCTTCTTCTTCCTCTCCACACGCACTGCATACTGAGTCTACCCCTTCGTATTTGACCCGATATGTCTTGGTTCGCAATACTCCCGTCCTTGTCTCAAACAGTAGAGAACTACCCTGACTATTATCATAGATCCTTTCCTTGGCAATTTCCTGCTTAAAAGTTCGATAGATCTCTAGTGCGGACTTCCTAATCATGGCGATTCTCCACAAGTCAGACTCTGTTTCCTTCACTTTCTTCTTGACTGATAGTTCTTTTTGGTTTGGCCACCTGCTGTTTTCTAAGTATTTACCAGTCAATTTCCTGGTTCACTTCCTCCATTTTGTATCGACATTCTTCATGTACAAGAACCTGAAAACCTTCCTAGCCCAACGCTCCTCCCCAATTTCTCTCAATGGCTTCTTTACTTTTATCTTGCTGCTAGCTTCCCTGCCTTCAAATGATGTCTATACCATATCGCCTTGTACTCCCTGATTTGGTGTATTCCCGTGAGCTCCTAAAGCAAGCCTACCTATTCCACGTCGCTTAATTTCTAATCTTGCTTGAACTTCTGATCTCATGCACAAGACCGCATTGCAGAACTTCAGCCCAGGAACCATGACCGCTTTCCATATTTCTCTCACAACACCATACCTACTGTAATTCCACAGTGTCCTATTTTTTGTCACTGCTGCATTTCTGTTACCTTTAGTCTTCACATATATTTCGTGTTCCCTTAGGTACTCCGTCCCATTGCTTAGCCATACGCCCAGAAATTTGTATTTATCTGTTATCTGTAGCCTGACCTTCTGTATTCTAAGCTCACTACCTTCGTTATCATTGAAAATCATGACTGCTGATTTTTCCTTACTGAATCTCAAATCTAACCTATCTCCCTCATTACCGCAGATGTCCATCAATCTCTGCAAATCTTCCTGGTTGTCGGCCATTAGCACTACATCATCTGCGAACATTAATGCTGGTAGTGCCTGATCAATGAGTTTTCCTTGTTTGACTAAAGAGAGGTTGAAGCCCAGTCCACTTCCCTCTAATTTGGCCTCTAATCCTTGTAGGTACATCATGAATAATAAGGGTGACAGGGGACACCCCTGCCTAAGCCCCCGTTTTACCTCTGCAGGCTTGGATACCTGTTTTTTTTTTCACTTTCTAACTACCTTGTTACATTCTAGATATCCTTTAAAAGATTAGGGACTACATGTTCCGCGCCTAGTGTGTCCAGCATTCCCCACAATTCCTCTTGAACCACGCTATCGTACGCTCCCTTGATATCCGAAAATGCTACTAGCCACAGGGCCTGTGTTCCTTTTCTGTAATTTCAATGCACTGCGTCAGTCAGAGCAGATTGTCTTCCAACCTCCTGTGTTTCCGAAACCCATTCTGCAGTTCCCCCAGCACCCCCTCAATCTCTATTCATGCCTGCAGTCTTTCCTTTATAATCAGCATTGCCAGCCTGTAGACCACTGATGTCACTGTTATAGGACGGTAGTTGTTTATGTCAGCTTTGTCCCCATTTCCTTTATAGATCATGCTCATCCTGGTAAGTTTCCATTTATCGGGAACTTCACCATCGATTATTTGTTTGCTCACTGCCTCTCTGAAAGCCTGCTTAGACTTCGGACCTAATGTCGTTACCACCATAATTGGAATACCCTTTGGGCCTGATGATGTACTTCTAGGAACCCTTTTCTCTAACGTGCAAACATGTGCAAGAGCCACCAGGCGGTTTCTTCTAAGGCGTTACGCTCGAGCCGGTGCGTTCATCACACTTCTCTATTCTAAACACCGTAACAGTGCGGTAAACTGTTATAACACACGATCACGGGGCCGCAGCCAACGTGGCAGAAACTGGTAGCGAGATATTTAAACGTGGTGTACGCGCGTAAAAGCGCGAATGCGGCGCGAGTCTTATTTAGTCTGCTACTTTCCGCTCCTGCGCTTGCCGAGTGCTTTCGTTTTTTCGCGGAGCGAGTCATTCTGCCGTGGGTCTACCGGCGCTTCGTCACATAGCAAGGAGGCGCATGAAAGGTCCAGCTTGCTTTTTGTGTGGTACCTTGTCAGTTTTGAAACTATGCGATAAACAACCACATCAGTAGAATTTCGATTAAGGGCGATATACAATGAAAAGCCATGCGATTATACTTAGAAGCGTGTTAAAACACTTATTATTAATAATAGATGTTGCAATTCGGCATCGCAGACCACTGGTACGATTATGAGCGATGCAGGGGAAGGCTCCAAAAATTTCAACCAACTGGCATTGCAATCAAAGTAAAGGCCCTCGATTATTCCCGCCTTTATCAATAATGCAGCTGCCGAGGCCGGTATTTCATCCCGTCACCTCCGGCCAGCTGTCGAGTACCATAACCTATATACCACTACGTCGAGTTAAGAAAACAGCTGAGGATGAAATCTCTTCGTAGGATCAATACGGCGTGATCCCCATGTTCTGGCTCTGGCTTCATACATCTTTTCAAATATTAGTGTTAACGCTCTTATTCGTGTGAGTTTTTGAATATAGAAGCAATATCTGAAGAAGCTCCATATTTCGAACTGCGATAACATGCACTTTTATGAAAAGTATGGTGCTTTATATGTGCGCGCATGAGAAATGAAGTGCATAAAACGCGAAAGAGAAAACTTATTTTTGTAGTTTTGTGACAGAAGATGGGGCAGGCCAAATATATGGCCTCTGATTGTTAGAAGAATAAAGAGCTTCGTTCGGTATCGGGTGATGTCACTTTCAGCGTCGAGTACGGCCTTCATCTTTTCAGGCGAAGAAATTGATAGAGCTACCATGAAGGATCAATTGAGTTTAAGCCGCTCCCACTCTTCGTTTACGGAACCTCAATGGTCATCCTTAAATTTTACGCGCAGAGCTTGGCAAGAGATGGATGATTTTATTCTATTCCACGCAATTTCGCTTAGGTTTAGGTCAAGTGACTGGGGGGAAGTGGGCGCATAAGCACCTTCACTGTCTTCAGTTGCGTGTTTACTACGGCAGCGACCGCACGCTCACTGTATTCTTTAGTAATAAAGTCTACCATGAGAAGCCTTTTATGCTCAGGTGCCTTGGTCATGCCACATATATCATCTGGCACCACCAAAAATTTGTTCAGCGAAAGATTAGGCCAGCAGCTGTGGAGTTCTGTGAAAGCTATAACGAAGGCCATTACTTGTGTAACATATATAGTGTCCATACTCACAGAAATGTTAGTCGGAAGCCTAAATTTGCATAACGCTCAAACCAGCCTGCTGTCTTTGATAACACACAAGGAAATTGGTGCTTCTAGCAACGAGCACAGCCAGATTTTTGCAGCCACTGAAACATAGCACGGCATTAGCGCGCCGAGCGCTAGGGCAGGAAGGTTGCAGACAACGCAGGGCACGAACCACTTTCGCGAGTTGGTGCGCATGCTCCACGTTTCCGAATCTCGCCAGCAGTTCGCGTACCACGGACCACCGGCGGTGCGCTCACGTGTTCTTCTTAACGGTGGACCTTACCGTATAGAAACTCACTACGACTTCCACAGATCCCCTTACTACCAGCAACTACCCGATATCAGTAAAGGAACCCATCATCGCTTCCAACGAGCGCAGCCACCTTTCCTCACCACCGTTCAAGTGATGTCATGAAGCTTCTAGCGATCATATGAGACGGAGAAACTCGCAATGGCTGCCGTGGTGGCTGTTGCTTGTTTTCGACAAAATAAAGGTATTTTTGCGTTGATTTATGCAAAGTTTCGCTTTGAATTTCGAGTTTACCGCTCTAAAGTACTTATCATGACAGCATTACCACGTTTTGTTTTTAAGTGTTACAGTGTTCTTCTAAGCCTAATAAAATGCTCTGCTCTCCTATTGTTTTCATTCAGTGAAAGTTGTAATATATATACTGGGCTTGCCTACAAAAGTTTCTATCTCGCCACCATTGCTCTCGGCGAGACTCGGCACTCCATAAACTTACTGATGCTGTTTCTTTCAGACACTACACAATACGCTCACTACGTGTTCAAGGCCTTGGACAAAGATAGGGCTGGAGCGATTAACTTCAAGGTAAAGATGATTTCTATTTCCATCTATCACTTCATTTTTAGTACGTGTACGTGTTAGCAGAGTCTTTTAATACCGTTCTGGTCACGAAACTTCTCCGTCACTCTATGGGAGAGCTTGATATGGTGCCAAGAGCAGCCGCTATGCGGCGCAAGCTGGGATAGGGGGGCCACCGCTCCGTGGCACCCGGCCATTGCCAGGCGGAACGCATTGGCAGCGGCGGCAGCTCGAAGGCGTTGTGTAAAGGCAGCTCGCGGTATTCCTTCAAACAAAGTTTCTGCATCAGCATCACGAGAACTTCAAGGGCAAGTTCTCCGCGTTCAAGGTCGACGGCATGAGAACTCGAAGGAGCAATGCCTAATACGTGCTGTGTGACAGGCTGCAGCACTGGATACAGGAGAAACAAGAAAAATGCGTCACTCTTCTTTTTCCCCAGTAGCGCCGAACTTCGGGAGAAATGTATATTACATTTCTTCACGCGAGAAAAAAAACTAAGCCTCGCGGGCCACTGTGCGTGGTTCATGCCCGGCAAGTGGGGGGCGGAAGCCCTAGTGTTAAGCTTAATGGTTGTGTATGTTCTCGGGCTGCAGCGTGCACTGCTTCGTTTCCCGCCATCCCTTGATGCCCCAGGATCCAGGTGACGGAGGACAGAAAGCAGGACGGGAGGGGAAAGAAAGCAGAAAACTTGACTAGGTCCCACCCCCCTCCCCTTACAAGGCACTGATTGTGTAACATTACTGAACACAGCCATAATAGTTTCTAGTGCTTCTCTTCTCCAAGGTGTTGTTCTCTGTGTATTTTGTGTAAACAAAACATGTTTTCAAACTTGCTCCTCATTAAATGCACCTGATGGGAAGCTCCCATTCATAGGTACACACCCACATACTAAGCGACGTATCATTAGTACCAAAGTTCAGATTCATTGCATGCTTTAAATCGTAACACTGCCCCCCCCCTCCCCCAAGCATAAAAAAGTATGGTATGGTACCTAGGTAGTGTGACAAAGGTCGCCGAGCAGCTAGCACTGGCATCGAAAGGAACTTCCAGATTAGGCTGCTGTACTTCCCTTCCCGAAGAAATCGTGGTTTGTTGCTGCTCTAAGCAGTAAACATAAGGAAACGTCAAGAGGAGGGTATCTGGACTAAATTGCGTGTAAAAAAGGGATCACTCAGATGTTAGGCACGTGAAACTCGTGCCTATTCAAGAGGCCCCCTTAATAGCGAAGCAAGTGGTCGCAAAAGCGCTGAGCTGCTATAAGCGCGACATCAAAGTACCCGCGTCAAGAAAGCGATCGGCGCTCACAAACGTGTGTCCCGAACAACTGCGCATTTGGGTGCAGACTCAAATGAAAGGTCTAGAATAAAACATCTAGCTCGACCATTCCCTTCATTTGATTACTTGGATAGCAACGCGCGAGAGACGAGCTGGATATAAACCAATGCGATTTCCCCTGTTTTACCTAGCCGTGTTTCGTTCCGTTCACCTTCCTCCCCGTATTTTCGGCACTAGTGCCAGAATAGAAAGCTTTACTACCGCATAAACAGAACCGTCCTTTGGCCAGGCGCGAACACGTTGTCGAGCAGATCCAGCAGTAGATGCTCGCATAGGGAGCACGGAGCATGAGAATCGTCTTTAAACACTGGCGAGCAACGACGTACCGCTTCCAGGCATCGTAAATACGCATATAATTGGGCTATGAGGTAATTCTTAACACAATGCGTTATCGCGTGGTGTTAAAACACTTTAAACGCGCTGATATTTATAAGGTTAATCCGCACTCCCAAGCAAACTACGCGTGCGTTCTTAAGTAAACAGCTTTCATTCGTCGTTGACACTGGATCACGTTTATACTGATCTGATTGCATTGCTGCATTCAGTGACATTTTATAAAAGGTAACAGGAAGAACAGCACGCACATAATCAAGTCGAAACGTCGGAAATTGTGTGCATATAATCCCAGCACTGGCGGCGGCTTGTGGCCCCCTTACGACTGGTGGCGCCGCTAGCGGGAGATTTTGTCCCTATATCAACCTTTGGGCGGAGTTTCGTGACCAGAAAGCATCGAAGGACTCTGGTGTTAGTTTGGAAACTGAAAAAAAAAACTGAAATCAGAGTAGCTACAGTACAAATTCTTCTAAGCAACTTTGCACCTAACCGGGAAGAGGTTGATACAGTTCGTGAAACGTAGTTATTTTTGAAGTGAGCACTTTGATAAGAAATATAATCAAACAGCTCTTTATACAGGGCGAATTTTACAAAAAGTGTAGTGCTACTCATCTTCTCTAAAGCGCTGTTTCACTCCCTTCCCCAGCACATCAACCAGGCAGGTCGAGCCTGGTAGTAATAAAATGTTTGATAAGTGTAAGGCATATCTTCCGCACCATTAGCACTTTTCTTTGAAACCTACATCATATAAGAAGCACACACCGATAATAGTGGTTCGCCAAATTTCGTTGAACCATTTGTGAATTATAAATAGAACTGCTTTACTGCTTTTAATGTGGCGAAAAGAATTGCCGAGCACTATACACGAGCACCTTTACTGAATACCTAGACCAAATTTGGGGATGAAGAGGTAGTATATTTAATTTTTTTTATCACAAACAACACCAAGACGACATTCTGGGAAGTCCAGAGGGCACCCAGACGACCTAAATTTTTTTCTCTCTGATATATTTTAGCAGTTTTTCAATGAAGTGAATTAGCGCAATTTTTTTCAAGTATGTTCAGAATGTTCGTCAAAATGGCAGGAATTTTTGGTGTGGAATGACCCCAATACCATTATTTATTGTTCCAAAGCTAAAACTATCACTTCTCTGTTACTGCCATTTTTACATACAATGGCTGTACGGGAAAAAAACAGAAAGGTAGGTCTTTCAAGGTTCAGAATGCGAGATGTTTTCATACTGCATAAATTAATTACCATAAACAGCAGCCAACCAACATTCATTTGGGGTGGTCCTAAACAAAATCTTGTACTAGTATATTAAGAGCAAAGCGAAATATTTTCATTTGATTATGCGTGGTGATAGACAAAAAGCACTTATCGCAAGGCTGATAAGCCTGGGATCATACTGAATCAAGTTCAATACACCGTTCAGTCCAACACATAGGCATCGTTGCTTATAGCAAAGCCATGTGTCATTGATTCATGCACTACATGGGAAAATACAAATGTTGAGCAGGTGAGAGCACTGATGATCTATGTGTGCTTGTTTGCATGCCTCTCAATGTGACCATGTTTTGCTCTTTTTGTTCTGAGGTACAGCAGAGCCTAGCAGTTACGTTCTTTACTTTCCCTCTATGACGTCGTTTCCTGCTGGTTCCAGCAAAGTTACCACAGGATTCAGTGTATTGCAGAACCAGCCCTGTATGATATGCCACGAAGTGTACTCTAAGCCGACCGAGCAACCACAAAAGCAAGCGGTCATGTGGACTTTTCTTAACACTTGGTCTCGCTTGAATGTTTAGCCCCAGAGTGGCACAAATGGCATAAATAACATACATTCGGTTGCATTGAATGAAAATGGAGGTTTCACTATCGTAATGAAAAGATGGCATGTGTGATGTGATTACTGTTATGCACATTTTGTGCTTGCGTAAATAAGACCTTTCAGACTGCCATTTGCTTTCGCTTTCGCATTTGTGTGGATTCAACATTTTTATGTTTCGGTTTGTGCAGGTAATGATCACGATTGTGGTCAAATTCTTTGTGCTGGTAGTGTTGCGCTTAGTTCTTTAACGCCTACAACTGTTGGTGGCAAAAGAATCACATTCGTTGACTAGACTTCGGTGCATTACTCGTTGAGCTCCGTGGGTTCATCTATCACGAGAGCATGGCAGAGTGTATAAGAATGCTTGTACAGGAGATGAAGCTTAGGAGCTGATGAAGCAGGGGTAAATTTTTTCAACGATTGCTTTTAGGGGTACTGTCACTCTCGTGAGGCATTTGATTGGGGGATGAGCCAATCAATTTGTTCAAGGCATATGAAATTGCAGGGCTCAGAGTTTTCGAGAAGCTTTTGAGTTGCTAGGGCATGAGCACAAGACAATTTCGCACAGCTCTTTGGAGTAAGCTTTGAATCAAATTCAGCCCAATTAGTTTCACTTTTCCAGCTTTTTATTCCTATATTTCCTGACTCTTATGTTTATTTCTCACAGTTCCTTAAAATTGTCTCTGACGGGTACCACTGTACAATTCATCTAATCCTACAATAAGAAAAACTACATGGAACAATGCCCTGCACGAGCACAATGAGAGTAAAGCCATGCAATTGTCATCTCACACCTGGCTATCATTGCAAGAAGGAAAGTTTAGAACACGCTTACAGAATATTTGCGAGAAACATGACGACCACAATTGGCCACACTAATTTTCCACTGTAAATTCTTAAAATGGCCATGTTCTCCTAATACAAGGGAGAAGAGAAATGAAATTTTGCTAACAGATTTAGTGGTGCGTTCGTAATTTCAGTAAGCAATTGATGTGCAAAATCTGGCTTAATCCCGACCAGCGTGGGAAAAAAACTACAACACTGAATATATTAGCCTCATATCTAAGATCATAAAATACAGACAGAGAATTTTCGTAACAAGAAGAGATAGTAATACCTCTTTAACTGGAACTGGCATATCTTGAAAAATCAGCTAAGTCTAAAACTTTTTAACACCAAATGATTTTCTATACGTTTTATGTATATTTTCACCTTTATCTCGAAGTATTTTTTGAACAGATTGTGGGTAACTTGAAATCTCGACTAGGAGTGGTATGAAAATCAGCCGTTGGATTATTTCGCAAGATTTTTCCGATGCTGCCACGCCTGAAATCCTATTTTTTTTCCTATTCAGTCCGCGCCTGTCACTACGTCGATGCTTTCCGCAAATGCAAAAAGCACAATTTCTCAGCCAAACTACATGTCAACTTTGACAAGCAACCCTGTGGCACATCATGTGACACATGCGCTGAGTAGAGAGGCCGTCCACATTAGCACAGCTTGTTTCGT